TGCGCTCAGACCTCAGATTGCTGCTTTTAGTCTTACCGTTCTCCAACCGGTCTGTCTTGTATAGCACAAACTAAACGAACGTGTTTCAGGCAAAATAGTAATGTAAAATGTAAATGTAAATTACGTAGATATTTGATGAATTCCTCTTACCTCTAAAGTATTTGGATACTAATCAGATTTTTCAACGTATCAAAGTATTACATACACCAAAATAGATAAGATGATCAAAATTTTTTAGATTCAAGATTTGAAATGTTTCAATTTTTACTGAATGATGTTATAATAGACTGCGCACGTATAGTTTGTAGCAATCTATAAACGGTTTATATATTTTTTGTTTAGATAGTTTTGCAAATATGAAGTTGTATTCATGTATAAGTACCAGTGTAAACTAAAGAATGTTAAATATATAATACATACTTACGTTGGTCACATGCAAATCTAAGAAATCAAATGAGAATTCCTTGTTAAAATACCAGACAAATTATTTTGCCTTCAATGAGAAAAAATAAATCAAGTATTGTTATGTAAATAAGTAGAGTCTAGTTTATGTACCATAGTATTTAATATTTACTTAGTTTTGGTCAGTGGCAGATTTGTAACTCAAAACGATTTCAGTTGACTATTATAAATCTTACAATCTATACTACCTATATTCATCATTATAAACCATGTGTTTAGCATTTCGGTATTAATATGAATGTTGGCAACACTTTAATTCTTAGCTTCCACTTAATTTAAAATCTTTTACTGATCACCTTAAGTTATTTCGAACAAACTACCGCTTTAACGATCAATAGTGTTTTGGAAATATGATTTACGGAGTATATTCGAAACAGACTAAAGTTCTTAATCTCCAAACGAAATCCAACTGGAATTCTTTGGATAAATGAAGTAGTTTGTTAGTTGGTGTAATTAGCCCTGGTCTATCATCAACACTAAGTAGTTTCCTTGAGAAAAAAAGTTCACAATTTGTTTAGGCTTGTCAACCTACGATTTTACCGTATGTTTATGTTCCTTAGCTAAAATTATTAACAATTTCCCTAACTTCAGTGCCTTTTTGCCCTAATTTACAATAATATCCCGTTTACTACATAAATCATGTTGCTTGATTGGTTAAATATGATTGCATAGATTATTAACGCTAATTTTAATTGTTCTTATGCTGAAATCCAGTCAAACGAGATGCACACATTCCGAATACTAACTATCTCTGATTACATCAGTTTGTACTTTATAACTAATGAAATAAATAACACCTTGTTTCAAAACTTGGATTCAGTATGCTATATGAAGTTTCTAATACACAAAAATGAAGAAATTGCATCGATTAGGTTTTGATAAATAAATACAATATACTACCATTTTTTTTAATTCATGATGTGGATGATGCATATTTTTGTATCATCAGGGACTAAGATGTGCATTTATTCAATCATTATGGCAATCCACCATCAAGCATATATTTTTTTGATTGGACGAACTACAAATCTAATATACAAGCTTTTCAGATAATTAGATTTTATATATATATTCATACAAAACAACTGAATAAGGAGATAAAAATACAGAAAAAATTGAGTCTATAAAATAATGATAAAATGATTAGAGTGTTTATTTTTTTCCTAGATAAAAAGGGGTTAAAAATAACTATACCTAAACATTGTTGATGAGCGACTAGAATTTATAATGTACTTGAAGATTATTTAAAATACTTTTACCAAATCAAAAGAATAGAATATAAATATCTCTTGAAAATTTTTGTATGCAATTAAATGACAGACTTAAAATTTTACAATAACTGAATAAATCAAGGATCATTGAGATATACATCTTGATAAAGTAATTGAAAGTGATCTCCTTCCAAGGCTTCCTACTTTCCTCCGATTATTGATCATTCAGTGTATTTTTATAAAACCGAAAACTGTTCATTTTTTACTGGTTATTTGAATCTTCCCACCGATAATTAGATTTTCAGTTGATTTGTCTCCTTTTTGACATTAGTACTTCTGTAGATAGCCCCGATACTACTACTAATACCGAAGTAATTTACTAAGATTTATGTGGTTTCATTCAATGAGCTGGAGGGTTTGATGGTGAGGCCTTTATTATTCTTTCGAACAACATTACCACAAACTTCACCTTCTCAGAGAGTTAGATGGTAGCTAGCAGTAGAATTTCGGCTTAGTTTTGACCTATAGTTGGGATGTGTCTGCATTCGACTCGGAAATTCGAACACAATACAAAAGGGTGGATTTCATAGTAAACATGAATGCTAGGATTCTGGTACAGACGAGTTGCAAATGGAGGGAATGAGGGTCCTGGATTTCACTTCCAGCCACTGTCCAATTGTGATTAAACAAGATTGTTTCATATGTTAAATGAAAATCATTTTATTAAGTTATGCTAATGATTAAGCTTGTCTCTTACAAAAGAATTACATAAACAGTTTAGTATGAAGTTGTCTAACTTAGTCGTTATTCCATCCTGACCATTGGCTTATAAAATCTACAATCATTTTTTATTATTTACTTAGTAGTTAACTGTACCGAGTTCATCTATTATCCCTCTAGTTATCCATTCGAGTTTGTTGTTGAACTTAGGAAATAAAAACACTGAATTCATATATTCCATTGGCATCATTCTCTTCCATACTATATATCACACTCTTGTTCAAATTAAGACATATTGATGTCGTTTATATAACAGGATCTTTATTTTACTAATCTAAAAGTGATGTAGTATAGTTTTAACTATGAGGACAGTTTGCAAATGTATCGTAAATGTATTCAGGACATGATACAGATTCAAGAAAATGCATAATTAGAAATAATTCACGGTATAAATCATTCGATTTAAATGCCAACTGATTTTTTAAACTTATAATAATTAGGGTTTATCTGTGGAAAGTATTAACAAACCAAAGTTGGGTGAATTTTAATCTCTCTTTCTCTTTCTCTCTCTCTCTCTCTCTCTCTCTCTCTCTCTATATATATATATATATATATATATATATATATATATATATATATATATATATATATGAGGAAATCATTTTCATGTGTAACACTTACTTTTCTTTTATTGATAGTAGAATAAAATAATAATAAATAATTAAATTATTAAGAAACTCTATGCCTGATCACATTTGATTCCAGCAAACGTCTCCTTTTGTTTAATGGCATAATATAAATTGCTTTCAATTAAAACCAATGCATGTGATAGGTTTTCCGAATTATTTATGGTTAATACAATGGCAGTTGAAGTTATGCAGACTTCTCACTATAAGTAGACTTTATTTAATTGAAACCAAATCATTTTTTTACTTGGCGAAGTCATACAACATACCGATACTGAGTTTTCGTCTCATGTTATAACAATTCTATAAAATCAAAGTCAAATGCAAATAATGCGCTCAGTGTTATGATCGATAAATTTCAGAAATCATAATCATTGTAAATATTTAGTTTTTTCTTTTTCATATAACCCATTTGAAAGTGATGAATCGTTTTGGTTGATTTATCCTGTGCAATGTCTAACATGATCATCATCATTAGGGAAATAAAAAAGAATGGATAAAAACATTTCTTTTTTTGGGAATATGAACATCACAGAAGTGGGAGTTTGTGTATTTACAACCCGGATGCTTTTGTAGTAGATTGTTGAATTACTTACTGTAAACATAAATACTTCAACCGTTATATACCTATTGAATATAAATCAACTTAATGAAAATAAGTGAACTTAATGTACTCTATTAAAATACACGTATATATATTTTGAATATACTACTGTGGCAAGTGTTTTGTAATTTCAGATATAGTTCTGAATTGCTGATTATGTCTATTAACATGAATGAACAATTATTGGAAAGAAAACTAAGTCAGCTGTTTGTCTGTTTATCTAGATATCTAAAACATGTCAAGCCTAATACTCAAAGAGTAAAATTTCGTTCGACTTACTTCCTCAATTAAGGTTCTAAAAACATGAGAGTATGTAAGTGGACAGTTTTGAGTTTCAATCAGGTTCCACAAATAGAAGAAAAACTGAAGGTATTTAGTTATACTGAACAAGCATTAGGCAGTGTAAAATATTCAAAATGGTAATATGAAAAATTCAGGAAACAACAAATAATCTGTTTACCCTTGCTACCAAACCAATCAGGCTTGGTTTTTTCAACATTCAAGTCAAGTTAAAAGAATTATTAATGAGAATTTAGTCAGTTAACAGACATAAATATATACAAATCTGACATCAGTTAATTTCATCGACAACAAGGTTATCTTTAATTTCAGTGAAATTATTATCATTCTAATAGAAATTTCAACTATATATCGTCAACTGTTTCTTTTTATGCAGTTAATCTTAAGTCATATCAAGTGGTTGTGTTCTTTTAGTGTACGACATGATTGCAAAGGTTACAAAATATGAGATTCGATAAAATCACCACTAGAAACTATTTACGTTTGATAAATTGATCTGTAAGCTGGTTATTCAAAGTTTCTTCACACGAACTTACTAAAGGTTATGAAATACTGAAGAGAACTAGACAGTGATCTTCCCAAACCCTTTTTGCTAATGATTAATATGTCCTCACTAATGACTAATTGTGAGGGGGTAATTACACGAGTTCTATGAAAAATTTCTAACATCTGAAGTTCAGTCACAAGGAGAGTAGAATAAATAACACAACTAGCAACGAATGATAGTTTACCAGTTGAAGAGCTTAATATGGATTGAAACATGTGAACCAGTGGATGCCAAATCGGTAGTTGATAATCCAAAACCTAATCACCGGGCCTGAAGATTTGGGTTCCCATTTCTGATAAGGCTCAGTATGTATGTGCCTTACTGAGGAGTCTCATACTAGGATCAAACATCTATTCGATGCTTCCTGATCTCCACTAATTTTTGAATCAAAATTAGCTGTTTAAAATATTGTATATTTTTTATCATAAGAAAAAATAGATACATTGGTTCTATACAAATTATTTATAATCATCCAAATAAAAATAATAAAACTCCCTGATATTTTAATTTCCATGAGCACACTCAAGAATATGGATTGTGTGTGTGTGTGTTTATTTGAAATAATCTCCGGATAATCCAAAAACAACTTCAGTATGACGTTTGATTAGTTGACGGTGAAATAAAACATTGATTACTACTATAAGTACTAACATTATTATTGGTTGTAGGTGCTTGTGAATTACTGCTGTTATGATGTAATCGTGAACAATCTTGTTTAATAATTGAAGAATGATTAATTACAGAACTATAAAAATAACACAATACAAAACTAATACATAATAATAATAATCCAAAACAGAATATACACAATGAAATCCAATGTGAATAATTGAAAAATTCATTAACACTCCGTGTTAATTGAGTAATGTTCATTTGATATCTTGATTGATTTAAGTAAAAACCTGTATGTACATAAAATATTACTGAAGCAATGCATATGCCAATTAATCCAATAATGGAGGTAAGCAAGACACAATAATGATAAATTCTGACACGACTAGATAAATGTCGTTTTAATGGTTGTATATCATTTATTGATAGATTACGATTAGCGGAACTTAATTCATACATTATACATGAATTCGGTGTTAACCGGTTACTTGATGTGATTAAGTTATCTTGTGTTACATTTAAAAAATATTTTGAATTGTTTGTCATGTTGCTAGAATTTTTTTCCTGAGACTGTTATTTCCTATAATTATTCTAGTTTCTTGAAAAAAGAAAGTTTAGCAATTATCAAATGTCGGTTATTGTTATTGTTTAAATGATTTGTATGACGACTGACTCTTCGACCATTTTCTTCAATACAAAATATTTTTTTCCAAGTACATAAATTTCAATTGGTAATCACACATACAAATCCATGCACGCATCATTCTAGGTTAAAGTTGAAACACAACTTTATGATTGGGTAATGGTGTTTTAAAGAGAAAGATTGTAATCTATTGTCTGATTGGCTAGTGAAAGTTATTTATTCAGTTGAAAAATAATGTATCTTCCAAGTTGTCTAAGAAGGAAGGAATGGTTAATTACTTCGCCAGCTTGATACAAATGCTATATATTTATAATTTGGAAGTTATGACATGGCACTACACAAAATCTAATCAATTAACTTGTCCATTTTACATAATATATAAGACTGGAAATCAATATCATTGATAGCTGCTGTACTACTCAAACTGTTAATTACACTAGAATTATTTTATACTTTTATTGTATTCTGTTGTCATTTTTTCGAAAAATTAAGTACCTAAATCGTAGTAATCCACATAATGGATATTTATAATTCTGTAACCTTTAAGTTTAGGAAGCATATAAATTACGGAAGATTTGACTGTCATTTTGTTGGATAGTTTTTAAATGTCATAGGAATATGAATAACTGTTTGTACCGTTGATTTAAGACTGTTGAAACAATCAGGTTTAATCGCAGTAGACAAAGATGGTGGATAATCCCATGAACTTCGTTGTGTGCATTCCGTGTTGGGCACTTGAAGCTGTGGTCGACAATTAAACAAAGGTATGCTACTAATTGTTCCTTGGGATGATAACAGTTAAAATAAACTTAAGAACAGATGCTTTAAATATTGTCATCTATCAGTAACAGCTATTCGGATATATTCCACAAAAATCTGTAAACAAAGTATGTTCATTTATATGAGGTGTTTGAATCATATGGCTTTAGCTGTACAAATGCCGGCCGAGAAACTTCGATGTAATCGATACCATCGGCTCAGATATTTAGGATGATCAAATATAGGTCCGAATTTCTAAAAGATATAAACAAAATTGACCTCCGTTTGTTATAACAAATAGTATAAATTGCATTCTTTCAATATGTTCTAAAACTTCAAATGATATCTACTCCGAACCACTGTTTAAAGTTATCTGTTTGACTTGATCTATCGACCTTTGTACAGCAAATAATATTTGTGTCTCGACTATTCCAGCAACATGAGGTAAATAAAAGTCGAGTCAGATAATTGTTTGATAATTTAAATAACTAAAGACCTGTAAACTACTGATGAATTTATTAAAAGGATATCTCGTTTAGAATAAGCACAGCATTGAATATAGAAGAGCAGAGTTCAACGTGGTGATCAACAACGCATAAGTGGTCGTTGAATTCACATCGCTGCAAATTCACATTGCCGAAGGTGAATATAAACAAAACATTTATCGTGTTTCATATCGGGTGTCAGAACTTTACCCTTAATCTGAAATGATGAACTGATTATTTCTATTAATTAGGATATGGAGAATATGAGAACTGTAAAACGAGATTGTTAGTCTGTGTAAATCTTAGTGGATATAGAATATTTTCGCTTATTAAAATGAATATAAGTCCATGTAAAATGAAGAGTGACTATGGAACTTTACTTCGTACTTCAGAGGAGTATGAAATACAGTAACTACTCAAGAATATAAAATGAAGTAGATGGAGTACTGAACAAAACACAGTCGCACAGTCGGTAAAGATAGAAGGTAAATCGATCTGTAAGTCACTGAAACACTTTTCCACAAATCTATGTACTAAATTTCTGAACGCGTATGTACAAATAAAAATAGGAAATTTTTATCAACCCTTAAAAACTGAATTATACTTATATCTGAAAATTGATAAACAACAGTGATCCAAACAACATTAAAATATTTTAAAGCTTAAGTAAAAGTTTCCATCAACATTAAACGAAACAATAAAAAATTATCTGATCAATCAGTTTCAGTCGAAATAAATGACATAATAAAATAAACCGCTAATTTAGGAGAATATGATAAAACAAATATGAATTTCATAAAAATATAATATAATGATAACAGTTTATCTAAGAGCTCTAAATAACCTGTTTCCAGAGGCTATTCCCTTTTGGTTATTTTGTCAATATTCTTCAAAATAAGACGAATATTTCTTTCATTTCATTAGAATTCTTCGTTTCTAGCAAATAACGAAAAATAAATTATCCTCTTCAAATTTGATTATATTTAGATAAATGATGATGATGATGGTGATTGTTAAAATGACATATTTCTTGTAACAATTACGTGTTCGCAACGTACAAGTTCATGGTCATTTGTTGTACTTCTTACATGCTAAAATGTCGTATATTCACAGCTGGTGATTTCAGTTTAATGATTCTTCCCTTAAAAAAGTATGGCATCACTTTGAACTGAAAAATAACATACTTTTTGAACAGTGACAGACTGTCCCCGAAAAAAAAACTAAAACTGTCAAAAAATGATTAGTAATTTTTAGCTTGTAACACCTAAATTCCATAAAAGTTGACTTAATATGACATTACCGAAAATTACATTTGGTAAGTAGTAATTCTTTCATTATGTCTAAGCGATTAAGGTGATCATTCCATATCAATTAAAAATGATTGAAGACCTCATCGTTAACCCTGGTACTTAGAAAAATATTATAATCGAAACATTTTTAAAAAGAGAACAAGATATTGTTGAACATGATTTAGTAAATAGATGTAACAATTTAGTTATCTGAATCTAGTTCAACAATGTGAATAACTGAAGTCAAACTTGTGAAATGTATGCGAACCATATTCTTTTTCTTCTGTGGAAACCTTGTGACATAATATTTGTGTCCAAATGACACACAGAATGCATATTTGCCAACTAAAGCTGATCAAAATTCACTCCAAACATCAAAAGGGAATAATCCAAACTATTAAAAATTATATGGAAATTCATACTTCCTACAGAAGTGCATTACTATCTTGACTCGGTAGCCAAGTAGATAATGTTTTGACGTTCAAGGCGAAAAGTACTGTATTAGAAACCTCAAGGTGAACATGAATTCAGGGATGAAAAAACCAAACAGACTCCTGTACTCTACAGTGCTAGCCCCATTATGCTTATCCAATCTACTAATATTATAACCAGGATACTGAAATATAAAATGAAAAAGTTTAAATAATTGGAATCCAATGGTGATTTTTTTATTACAATTAAATGTTTTGTTTTGATTTAGTTTTGTTACTAAATCAATAGAGTTTATACATGAGATTTTATATTCTGTATCTAATAAAACAAATGATTCTTCATCTAACGTTGTTCACGGAGTTTGAAATTAAAGAATCAAACTTATAGTAATCGATATTGTCTGGGCGAAATTTACATTAAGGCTGTTTTTGTCATAAAAGGTAATTTCATTCGATAAGATTTCTCTTTTCAAAAGTGTTTATATTGAGTTTTTGAGATAAACTATGGAGTTATACTCTTCACTTAATTAATGCTGAATCTCAGTATGTTACTAGCTTATTGAAAATGAACTATATGAAAACGTCGCCGGCCTATATGGAAAAATATCTAGATTTTAAAGCATTCTAACTTTGAAAATGTTATTTGATGCTTATGTCATTCGAATAGATAAATTTTTATTAACTTGTTTATCAAAATTTCAGCTGCATTAGTAAACATCATGAAAATGTCATATTTTACAAGTAAGAAACTTTTTCTTCATATTTCCATTTCCAAAATATAATTACTTTAATTAGTGAAAAACGTGATGTATACAACTTTCAGTAAACAAGATATTATTATTTTGAATAAAAGTGTAAATTAAAATTAATAAACTAATTGATAATTTGTGGTGTGTTGATTGGCTGTTCATATCAATATCAAATTTAGTACCATTATGCTCTGGGTAGAAACTTCCTGATCCTATTTGAACGATTCAACGAGTTAAGAATGTTCTTTCACAATTCTCACTAATCTTTGAAATGATAGTTCTATTGATATGAAATCTACCGAGAATATTGTTAAAACCTCGATGCTTACTTTACAATTCGACATTGTTATTTAATCTTCGTGAAACAGTTCATCGATCTGAAACTGATTGTAAGAGCTTTGCTTTCTTTATACTGTTAGGTTGATGATTTTTTATGATACTGAAAATTGGTTTTTCATGAAGGCAGTTTAATGCATCTTTAACTGCATCTCCATCGATGCATGGAGATGTAATGAAAACGTCTTGTGAACAAGTCCATAACCAGTCATAAACAGTTGACAGTTCAATGTATTTTAATTACCAATCAATCATTGTTAGACAAGCATTAGAAACCTGGAAGCGCTAATGGCCGTTTCGTCCATCATCATCAGCAGTGCGCATCCACGCCTCCTGCATCCTGAAGTATTCGAACCCAGGACCTTCGTTCTTGCGCCTGAACGCCTAATCTCAGGAACACTGTGCCGGCATTCAGCAATGTTAATGTTTAACTCTGATCAATCTAGGGATATTTCGCAACCTCAACCATTTTTCTCTAATACTTACTGCCTACACCAGACAGGGTTGAACTCAACTGGTCAAGTCTTCTCACTAGAACTCCGAGAATTTCCTCACGAAGCTAGTTACTAGTAAGCAGATTGTGCAATTTTTTAACTGAACTAATGGAGACCAGCTTCTTTGCACATTGAAACCATCAATAAAGTGAGGTCGAGCAAAATCCCTAGATTGATCAGAGTTAGACAGTAATACCGTTGGATGCCGGCCCGGTGGTTCAGAGGTGAGGCATTAGCGCGCAAGACCACGGTCCCAGTCCTCCGAGTGGCAAGAGTCGCAGATGCCTAATACTAATGATGATGGACCAAATGGCCGTCCCGTGCTGAGTCGTTTTCTAACAATAATTGATTGAGATTTCA